ATTTGTGTCTTGACAGGTGCTTAGCATTTCTTTTATTAATCTTTTTATATCTTGCCTCACTAGAATTAGTTTTAATTTTGTCTATGAGGTCCCAAAGGTATTTCTTTATGTCTGCTGATGCTGTGTCCAATACTACATGTTTGCTACCCTCAATTTCTTCTTTATTTATCTCCTGGACTTATTTTCCCTGCATCAGCAGCGGAGGCTTTTTGTTTGTTTCTCTTGTCATGTTTTTGGTTTTTTTCAGACAGGTGTATGGTGGAGGTCTCAGGCCTTTTCCATATTGTTTATGGTTTTTCTGAAGTGCGCTGGCTAGGGGATTGCTGCCCTCTCCAGTTTGCTGTTGATCTGTGAGGTGTACACAGGGACGATATGGGCTGGCCCCTCTCCTCTAAGCCAGTCAACAAGCAAGTACCTTCAGCACGTTAGTCTGTATTGTGCAGATGTCACAGGTTTGGGACAGTTTCATCCCTGGCTATTTGGTCCCAACCAGGGGCATGACCCAGCCCAAGCAGATCCCACCAGTCCTCTTTGGGCAAGGAGCAGCTGACTGATGCCACTGTGGTTCCAGGTTCAAGCCTGTTCTGCCCAACTCCAATAAGTCGTCCAGCTGGTTACTTCTTCCATGGGACCCAATTCCTGGCACTCACCATGGGTTAATGCAGCTTTACATGTAGGTTTCTCTCTCCTTTGCACCACATCCTCCCACCAAAGACCTTGGGCTCTCCAATCCCAGATTTCGGCGCTACAGTGACTTCAGCACAACCAAGTCGTCTGACTCCAAGGCGTGCCCAGCACAGCGTGGGCCTGGCTCCAGTGACAGTGCATCTGGTTCCAACCTTTCGTCCACTTTTTTCCTTCCTTCCTTTCTTTTTCCTCAGTTTCTTCCCAGGTTGTGAGAATCCTTCTCCTTTCATTTGGTCTTCTCCATGGTGTTAAATTCTAGCATCTGAGTTGTTTTTCTCAGAGAGGCTCTCTACCCTGCTACTTATCAATCTGCCATCTTCCCAGCCCTCTTTCAATGCTGACCCATATTTTTGACTCGAAAAATTTAAGTGTAAGAAATTGAAGACCAAGGAAAATCTGAGTTTGAAAAAGAAAATTGAGTATAATTAAGTTTGGGTAAATTATTTTTGAATTGCCTATGAGATACTCATGTGAGAATTTTGAGTAGAATATATGGGGGAAAGCCAAGATTAGAGGTTTTGGAGTCATCAGTTCATAGACAGAATTTTAAATGATAGGATGAATAACTTGTTCTAGAGACAGACTGAATATATACTGACCAAAGTGAAGGACTAAGACCCAAAGGTCTAGAAATAAAGGACTCAACACAGAAGAATGAGAAGGACCAGTAGTTAGAGAAGATGATGAGTCCCCAAAAGAAGAATGGGTTAACTGTGTTGAATGCTTCTTAAACTGTAACTGTTCACTATACTGTCAACATAGATACTATATAAGCAGTTTTAATGGAATCATGGGAGCAAAAACCTGCATGGAGTGGTTCCAAAAAATAAAGAGGAAATAGAAGTAAAATTGATTTTCTTTTTTTTTTTTTTTTTTTTTGTCTTTTTCGTTTTTATTGGTACCAGGGATCGAACTCACGACTGCCTGCTTGCAAGGCAGGCACTTATGCCGCTGAGCTAAATCCCCAGCCCCTTGATTTTCTTTTTTTAAACATATTAGAGAATTTTATATGTTAACAGAAATAATTTAATGAAAGGATGGTGAAATTAAGTACCTTCTATGTTCCAGGTGCTAAGAGAACAATAATGAACAAGACAGGTATAGTACCTGCCCTTAAGAAACTAACAAGTTATAAACAAATTTTTGCACATTTTGATAAGTTTTTTTTAGAAAACCAAAGCTGTAATTAAGCATAAAATAAAATAGCTTGAAATCTTCACCTAGAATTATTTTAAAAATATGCAAAATGTCTTTTATCTAATGGCACACTTTAATGACAAACATTATTTCAACAACTATTTTTCAAACCATATGCTTAACGTGTGTCTGTCAGCTGTGCTAGAACCTAGAAATGCAATAGAGAACGAAACACCATTTCTGCACTGAGTGAGCTTACAGTCTAGGGTGGAAAAAAAACCAAGTTCATAGGAAGTTACAGGACATTGTGATAAGTGCTAAGATCTAAGTTGAATTAAATCCATCAGGGTGATCCATGCTCTACATGACAGAAAACCCAAACAGAATTAGGATAAGCAAACAAATGACAACAATTAGTTCATATAATTGGATCTAAAGTACATGAAAAATTTAGGCACAGCTTTACCCAGTGAGTACAGCAATGGTGGCAAGAATTCAGTTTCTTTTTTATCTGGGGCCAGTAGTGAGTTCCTGTAATCCCAGAACTCTTGAGAGGCTGAGGCAGGAGGATAACATGGACAATTTAGTGAGACCCTGTGTCAAAATAAAAAATATAAGGGCAGGGATATAGCTTATTTTAAAGGCCCTGTGTTCAATCCCCAATACCAAAAAGAAATTGAGTTTCTTTTCTTTTTCTCTTAGTACTGGGGATTGAACTTCAGGCCTCTGTTCACGCTAAGTACATATTCTGCCTCAAGCCACAACTCCAGATCCAAAATTCAGTTTCTTTTAATCTATCTCTACTTTCTCTGTATAGATTCCATCCCTAGGCAAGGCCTGCAATTGTGCCATAAACTTTTTACTTCCAATAAAAAAAAGAAACAATGAAAGAAAGAGAAAAAAGTTTGTCCTATCATTCTAAGAAAAAATTCTGGTACTATATTTAATCCAGTAGTATCATTTTAGGTCTCAGACCTATCCCTGAAACAATCACTGTGTCAGCATTGGAAACAGTCATTGATTTAAGCCATTAAGGTGTTAGATATAGGGAAAGTCACTACTCATTTCTACTACCAGTATCCATGGCAGTTAGTCAGATTTAGGATCATCTGCACAGAGATGGTAACTAAAGCTGTGGGGAGATGAGATAACTCAGGGGAAGTATATTGTATGAGAGAAGCGGCCCTAGAACAGGACTCCAAGAAATAACCAAACTTTCAAACTGAGAAGATAAAAAGGAGCCTTTAGAAGACATGGAAGAGAGTGGTAGATAATGGGATGAGGTAAAGAGGCTATTCATCACTGAGCAAACCATAATTCATCATACCTTAAGGTGAAAAAAACACCAGTCCAATTAAAAAATTTAAAATGGAAATAACAATATGCTTTTTATGCATTTTAACTGGATTTTAAAAAGTGAAGACCTGAGATTACTTTTTATGAAATATAATTTGAAAGTATAATTTTAAAAGTTTAAAAATGAAATTTAGTTACAGATAAAACTAGGATCAAGGTGTGTTGTTAACCAGTTTTTTAAAAATCATTTGAAAAACTGTGGAGACTACCTCTTCACACTCTTCAAGGGAGGTTCCCTGAAAGAAAGCAGATATAAGGCTGAGACTACAACCCTGCCCTGGGATCTGCCAGCAAGAATCTCTCAGGAATTTGCATGTCTGCCAGCCACAGGCTTCTTTTAGTTTTCCTCTTCTTTATCTTAAATTATAGTCTCTGCCCTGACACCTGGAATGCCAATTCCAACTCCTTCCTCCCTTTCATGCTTCCCTATAGTATGGTCTATAAAACAAAATACTGGACTCTCTGCTTTCAAATTCGAGCTCTATCACCTAAATTATATCACCCCAGCCTCTGAGCTTACTCTATTTTCCTTATCAGCAACTATCAGATGTTTATTTCTTCTAATTCCACTAGCCCCAATCCCAAGAACCAGGTATCATTTTTTTCTCAAAGAAACCTACAACTTGATTAGAAACTATCAAACAATTCCTTCTCCCCTTTGAATTATAAGCTCTTTAAAGGAAGAAAATTCGCTATTTCATTTCTTATATCCTCTTATTATTATTACATTTCTGCTTTTAAAGACATTACACTGTTGCTTAATTTACTACTAATTTAGAAGATAGGTCTACATTTTTTGTAGCCACTACCATTAGTGTTTCCTTCTATATTTCCTCATCACTATTCTATATTTCACCTTCAGATGAAATCATAGAATCACAAATAGCTTTGTTAATAACTTAAGATGTTGTCCAATCATTTACAAAAATATTTTCATAGAATTCCTTTCTAAAAATAAATACTATGTAAATTACTTACCCTCAAATTAAATCATAGATTTTATGATTTTCCCTTAATTCTGAAGCAACTCTGCAAATCTGATTACTTTTGTTTGTAATAACAATAGTAAAACAGTTAAAAAAATCTCGTCATTATTTAATTCTGCTCACTGACAACAGGATCACTGTTTTTAAGAAAGGTTTTGTTGGGGCTGGGGATTTAGCTCAGTGGCATAAGTGTCTGCCTTGCAAGCAGGCAGTCGTGAGTTCAATGCCTGGTACTGATAAAAAGGAAAAAGACAAAAAAAAAAAAAAAAAAAGAAAGGTATTGTTGAGATGCCATAAGTCAAATTACCAAAATAATAATCTTACAGATATTATTGGTAATAAAAGCGTATTTGAAGATAAAGTAATATATTAAACACTTAATTATGATTGACTGTACATATATTATATATTCCTTGCTTCAGCAATTCTTGAGTATAGAGTTTCTTTCAAGTAGGACCTGGAATTAGGCCTCTCAATCATGTGGTTTCAATTAAGTTCTGTTAAAAATAGCTTGTAATATAAGCATTTTCATTTTTAGTACTTCAACAACTTTACTCCTTTAATTCATACAAAGGACAGACTTTAGAAAAAAAAAGAATCAAAGGAAGTTACAGAATCCCTTGTTGCTGGCTCTTCACATACTGTAAAATCATGTATTTTAATGTTTAGTCTTGTAATAAATATCAACCATTGGGTCCTATGTTTACAGTATAAATACTGTACATCTATTTAAGAAGTATATGGAAGAATTTTCTTCACTGATTAAAAGTAAATAAAAAATTTCAACAGAATTTCTACACAGAGAAATATCACAAAAATTAGAGAATACTGGATTTTTAATTTAATACAATTTCAGGTAGACATTTCATATAATTTCATGCAGACATGCTTTTAAGGACTTTGACTTGACTTTCATATCTTCAAAGTAGTAAAATTTCAGCCACAGCTGTTATATCCTGCCATTGGTTTTTATTATAATATCTGGAGAAAAATATATAATAATAGATTATTTCATATGAAAGCAAGTGTCTAACAGTTACCAATAACTAATCCCTGTGGGTAAGAGCTCTTGTTCCCCACATCACTTTAGGTTTACCCCACAAAGCCTCAGGAAACATTAAAAAAATGAAAAAGGAATAGTGAGCTCAACCTTCCTGGATATATTTGGTACAGTTTTCTGGAAACATAAAGAGACTGCTCTATAACATTCTAGAAGAAAGTATGGCAAAAATTTCTGTCAGTGGCCATTGCAAGGCTCCTTAAACTCAGCTTCAATCTAGCTGTGCTTCTCGTCTTGTCCTCCTCAGCCACCACCAAAGCAGAAGCCCCTTACATTCTCTCACCCAGTCCCCTCTCTTTACTGCAGTCCAATCCAGATTATTCTCAAGTATGGCATTTTGGGGCCTTCTCCTCCTCACCTTACACCAGGAAATCTAGAATGCAGCCAGTTTTACTTGTTTACTATTGTCACTTTCACATTATGATACATCTTTCATGTCATAAACAACCTGTATTAGTCGTTCGAAGTCTTTATTACATCTTGGAATTATCTGACATTTAAATTATCCTAATATCTACGCCATGCTCCGTAATAATTAGATCATCACATGTGTAAACATATTGTCTCCCTAGCGTAAAAAACTGAAAGACTAAATAAGATGCAAAATGTACAACAGATATTATGAAAGTGAAAGGGGAAGATACTGCTCAGAAGGAAAGAATAATTGGGATGAGGGAAAAAAGTGAAAAGATTATATATATATGATAGATAATTATTCTACTGATCTCTTACTTCATCAAAAAGAATAGTTTGTGCTTTCATTGTTTGATCATTTTTTCATGCCTATATTTTGTAATCTGAGCAACTACTTTGAAGATAATATGCAATATATTAACCATTGTTAATCTATTATTTTGTTTTGAAATTCTGTATCATCATTTTTATTCTTTTTCACTTAAAATATCAATTAAAAAACCCAATTAGATTAGGATATGTAAGTAAGGAATCCAAATGTGACACAAACAGGAAATACAATATGCAGTTTAGTTTGGGAACCAGAGAGCTATCTTTGCTACTAAAAACTGAATCCAGGGATTAGTAACATTAGCATTACCTAGTATTTGGTGAGAAATGTGGACTCTTGGGCCTCAATCTATATCTGCTGTATCAAAATTTCCATTTAAATAAGATCTTCAAGTAATTCACAAGCTTGTTAAAGTTGGGGAAGCCTTACCTTTACCACCCCCTGCTCCTCCTTGTCCATGCTAACCGCATATACAATTTGCTCACTTATTAAAAACTTTGTTCATAACCATCTGTATAACTTCCCAAGTGGGTAAAGCCCCATCCAACTATTGTCTCCACTACTTTTCACCTTAGTAACATTTATATATATGCCCAGGGCCATGAACTTTACTTCCTTCCATCATAGTATAGCCTCCCATCATAGTATCGATTATATCACTTCTAAAACTTTACAATCTAAGAGACCTAGAAATTACATTCTTCTTCTTCTCTCTACATTGTTCCAATACTAAGTTTATCACTAAGCTTTGTTACTATTTTAGACTAGTTTTCAAACTCCAGAATTCCTCAGTCTGAGAAATACTTTGAGATACACTAGCTTTAAGAAACACTAGCTGAGACTTATATTTTGGGATACCAGGAATCAAACATGACTTTGTGCTTGCCAGGCAGGTGCTTGCGCCGCTGAGCTAAATACTCAGCCCCCCTGAGACTTCTTTTGAGACAAGGTCTCACTATGTCGCCCCGGCTGGCCTAGAACTTGTGGCAGTCTTTCTGCCTCGGCTTGTTGAGTGCTGGGATCACAGGTGTGCACTGCCAAGTCTTGTTTTTCATGTAAATTTTTGCAGAACTGCCACCTGGAATTTCTACATCCATTTCAATTTTTTGCAAACCACCTCCACACTTCTTGTTAGAATTATTAATCAAAAAGCAAGTTGAAACAGAATAAAATTAAAAGCCAGCATGGTGTATGAGTTTCTCAACCGTCTGTTCCTCAGACTACCCAAGACTCAGTTTTCAAAATGTCTAATCTTCACTAAAATCTAACATAACTAATTTCAGTCCTTACCTGAGGATGTTTAAGTCAAAGTGCCTTTATTTATGCTGGTCCCTCTTCCTGGAAGGCCCATGGGTTCAGAATGTTCCTGGGGGCTTCCACTTACCCTCTAGTGGCTTCTCTATCTTCCCTGTATATCCCAACTGAATCCCAAATATACCTCTATTAAAGTACATATACCTCCATTAGACTTTATCTTTCTTCCTATATGAGATTCCAGAATTTGTGAAGTGAGTTACTTGTCATTATCTCAATATCATCAGCAAATAACTGTGTCTAGCATGGAACATCCAGACTGCATATTTGCTGAATGAGTGAGCCAACGATAGAGCCTCCTTTTCATTCGATAGCTATACAAAACAAAACAACAGGCTTACAGGGGTTCCGTGATGTAAGTTTGTTTGCATTTTCACCCCAAGGAACTAATTGGCATACTTCATCTCTGTATTTGTGCTTGATCAATTTGTCTATGTCAAATACATTCTTTACATGAGATGGCGTAGCCAAATTTACTATCAAATAAAATAACCACTCAATGTGTATTGCATGAGTGACTTTTATATACTAGATATTTTACACAGATTACCTCTAGACCTTTCAACAACTCTTGGAGGTTAAAAACTTATCAATTTTACAGACATCAAGTTCAAATTAATATAAGGAATTTACTTATGTGACAGGGTTAGGATTTGAATTTAGGATGTTCTATTACTAAGTGATTTCTACTACTATCTCTCAGATACTTGATTAGAATGATTTTGGTATCTTTTGTCATATACCTCTATGAATTTCTGCTTATTAATACCTAAAAATCTAAACTTCTCAGTATTGATACTGATACATATGCATGTAGGTGAAAGCTAAATTATCCTCTTCTGAGTTTTGATATGCCTGGTTCTAAGTCTGAGTCTGCCAGTAATTAGCTGTGTAAACTTGGGCACATCACGTATCAACCTTCTTAGGTCATTTCCTTATCTTCAGAATGAACAAATTAGTAAAGATATATGGTCTTCAAATATTTGTGCTCATTGAAATCACTTTGAGAGTTCAACAGACAGTATTTTGGATTCCTGTGCCATATGTTTAGAGATTGTAGTTTGCCAGGTAATGTTAAACTAGATGTTTTCTACAGTCTTTTCTATATAGCAGTCACCATTTTCATGCCCCTCCTTTCAATACACCTCCTGTATCACACCTTTTTTTTTTTAGCTTACTTCTACCAATTTATTGCTTAAATCAGCTTCTTAACATCATCAAAAGTGAGCTTTGCCTTGTAGTCCTGATTAGATTACTGCCAAACTAGCTAAAACTTTAAATGCCAGAACTAAAAATAGGCTGTTGCATATTTAAAATAACAGGATCACAAGTTAGCTTGAGGCTTTGCTATTTTTACTAAAGGAAAGGCTGTGACAAGTGGCTACAAGTTGAAATGGAATTACTTAAGCCAGCAAGCTGCTGTTACAGTGAGAGCCTAGGAAAAAGCCAAAAGGTGGCAGCATTAGTTCAATATTTATTAGGGGGTCTCTAGGAATTAAAATAAAAGCTTTGGTCTGAGCACTGAAATGAATCTCCCAGACACATTTTGGTTTGAATCTGTTGTTGCAGAAGATCTTTCACAGAGGAAGTGCTCCACAAATATTATGTGAATACAAAATCATCCCCTTATCTTTAAAAACAATACTACTAAAAATGAAACTCAAACAACATAGAATTTCAAATCGTTATAAAAGGTAGCCTAGATAAATACATTTTAAGTTGATGTTTTAAGCTAATTCTTCAACACATACAGTATTTGACCTTAAAATACTTTACTCAAGTTCTGAAACCCGATAAGACTTATAATTTTACCATATCAATTTGGTGTGAAAATTCTCAGAACACAATTTATAACTGTATTTTCTGTGTACATAAATAATTTGTTAAAAATGTTTTTATATAATATGAAAAATTATACTCAGCATTCATACTAGAGTACCTTTAGGAATATCTTGAGGAGAAGACTCTCTCTTCTTTATAGTAACACCTTTACTTTTCATTTGTCTAGTTCCTGGTGATGCGCTAATAATACAACAGATTTCTGGTCTGTTAGAAGGAAACTAAAAAGGAAAAAAGCAGTTACTGTATGACTCCTCAGTCATTATGTTTTATTCATTCAAAGGCAAATAGTCTCAATATCTGTTTCATAGATAATTATGAATAACAGCAAGCATATATTAAATGCTCACTCCAGACCCTAATGATTTTAAAACATTTGTTCATTTAATACAATAACCAAGTAAAGCCTATCCTTATTTATAAAAGAAGAAACTCAGTTCAGAGAGACTGGATAATTTACTTAAGGATAAAGAACAAGTAATAGTAGAGTTGAAAGTCCAGCATTCCAAAGTAAAAGAGAAAGTCTGCATGAATTTATTGAATTAAAACACAAGTTTAATTTAATTCTAAGTCAAATACTAGATTCCTTGATTTCTCTACTCAGGTAATTTTCATAATTTTCTATCAAGCAGACAGTCTCAGAATACAGAAATATCTCATCTTCATAAGTAACATATCTTATTATAACTCAGAAGTAGAGATATGCATTTATCAAAAGTTTCTCAGCTGACTGTAGGGGAAGAGAACAAGAATTCAGCAAGAAGCAAGCCTTCCCTGCAAATTGGCACCATGTGCAAGCCGCTGTGGGAAAAGCCAGACCCCAGCCTCTTCCAGCATGCAGGCTGGGAGACAAGAAGAGCCAACTGCCCCATCCCATGCTGTAAGTGACCAGCTGATCCAGAGAAACACAGGCTGTGATGATAACTATTGAGGTAAAATACAATTTAATGTTTGTAGTGTTTGGTATTTACTGACTTTGCAGGTCTAAAGCCAGTGGTCTGATCATCTATTCAGAAGATGGCAATACTCAGTGTAGCATCTATGGGGGAGGGGTCTTCTTTTGAGGATGATGGACATTGTTGATTCCCTATTGTTTTGTTTTGGGGTCCTGTATCATTTTCATTGTTTTTTTTTTGGTTGGGTTTTATTTTGTTTGATTTTGTTGTATCCAATAGCATGGGCAGCTATTTCAAAGATAACAAGATATATTATGGTTATCTTGTTTTGAAGTTCTTTATTGCATTCATTGTTTTGTTTTGTTTAATTTTTACTATCTCTGAGGGTATCTGCAGCTATGTTGAAGACAGCAGGAGGCATTATGGTAACCATTGTTGATTTCCTATTGTTTTGAAGTCCTGTATCACTTATACTGATTTGTTTTGGTTGGCTTTGTTCTGTTTTGTTTTGCTTGGTTTTATTTTCTTTACAATAAAAATTAAAAAAAAATTCTTCCATTTTAATCCATATTATCCTTGTGGTAAATACCTACTATTTTCTGTTCCAAGTATTTTCTACTTGGAAGAATCTACTCTATGACTTCATTCTTACAGACAATGTGAAAATTATAATATTTCCATATACCACAGTGGTCACAAGGCTCAGCCTAGCCAACCAACATACTTAGAGAATCTATATGATGTTATGCTCAAAGGCACTAATCAGTGGATTACGTCAAGGTTTCTTCTTAGGGTCAGTCATAGGCATGAAGGGCCTACATCACTAACTTCAGCGGCTCAGGCTTCAGTCCCTACAGGTCAAACTGATGAACAAAAACAAGTATTTGGCATACATCACCTTGTTAATATAAACTATCTGGCATAAACAAAACCTCAGGCATACAGACACACTAATCAATCACAGTATTCCAGAGCTCTGAGGTCACCTCCAGGAGCCTGAACAAAGGGCAGCTGTTTTGATCTTACAAATGCACAAGTCTATTAAGTTAATTCTTTTCCATATAGGAGAGGTAAAACTGCAATGTGAAAACAAAAAAACCCCAGCAGACTGTTACCATCAAAGAGCAGAGAGAAGCCAGGCACAATGGTGTGCAACTGTCATCCCAGAACTTTGTAAGGTTGAGGCAGGAGAATCTCAAGTTCAAATCCCTCCTAGGTAATTTAGTGAGACCCTGTCTCAAAATCTAAAACAGTATTAAAAGGACTGGGGATATAGCTCTGTGTGAAGATCCTGGGCTTAATCTCTTATACCACAAAAAAAGAGAAAATGGTTACTAACAGAAATACATAAGCAGAAAAACTATCTATCAAGAATGAGGTAAAATTGGGGCTGGGGATTTAGCTCAGCGGCATAAGTGCCTGCCTTGCAAGCAGGCAGTCGTGAGTTCGATCCCTGGTACCGATAAAAAGGAAAAAGACAAAAAAAAAAAAAAAGAATGAGGTAAAATTAAAAGCATTTTCAAAAACCTAAGACAATATTCCACCAAAGACCTTCACTAAATGATCTCATGATGGACAAAGGAAGAAGAAAAATGACTTTAAAAGGATAATGTCTAGATGTCAAGGAAAGGCAAACAAAATTAAATATATGTAATATAAACAAATATTACCTGAATAAAATAAATAATAATGTTGAGGATTATAATTTTGGGTTTAAAAAAAGGACAGAATCAAAATATTGGAATAATAAACAATTGTAAGCTAGGTATATACATATATATATATAATTGTAAGCTAGGTATATGTATATATATATATACACATATAAAACTGGACTAAACAGAGTTAAAAGACAGATTGCTAAGACTGGACTGAAAATACAACTGTTTATAAGAAGTCCATCCAAAACAAAACAGTCATAAATAGGTTCTTTGAAAAACTTTGAGAAAGCTGAAAATAAAAGGCTAGAAATAAGATGTACTAAGCTTTATTAAGCACAACAAGATTGAAAACAAAAAAATAATAAGGAACAAAGAAGCTCGCTAAACAATGAAAACAAATATAACTCCCTAGAAAAACACAATTTTTTTTTTTGTCTTTTTCTTTTTTATCGGTACCGGGGATTGAACTCACAACTGCCTGCTTGCAAGGCAGGCGCTTATGCCGCTGAGCTAAATCCCAAAACACAATATTTTTAAAAATACAGTCATTAAAGTTTCAAAATATATAGAGGAAATATCTGTCGGCCCACAGGAAGAAACTAATAAACCTGTCATCTTAATAGTAGCTACTTTCAACATATTATCCTCTATTATTGATGGCAGATAATACATCAGGAAGGATATAAAAACAGATTTAACAAGTTTAAATGACACAGAAACTTCATCTATCAGCAGTTACAGATAAACATTATTTTCAAACACATCAAGCATTCAATAATCAATCATATTTTAAATTGTAATACATGGATCTACAAAGTTCAAAGAATCCATACCACTTACATACTACTTTCTCTGACCAAAATTCATTTAAATTATAAATAAACAATAAACATAAAAGCTCAAATACACTTGGAATTTTAAAAAAATCTGTGTTTCCAAGAAAGTTCTAGGTCAAAAAGGAAATCATAATGGAATTTTAAAATACTTCATACTGCAATTATATCAAACCTGATGGATACAGCTAAACAGTACTAAGAAGTACGTAACACAAGCCCACAGAAAATATAAAGGAGTCAATAAACACAGGAGCAGAAATCAGTGAAAAAAGTAAAGAAACAATACAGGGGATTAACAGTCATAAATAGGTTCTTTGAAAAAAGTAAACGTTTGGCAAGACTAATTTTTAAGAAATAGACTATTTTTTTTTTCTTTTTTAAAATTTGGTACCAGGAATCAAACCCAGAACCTTACACTTGCCAGGCAGGCACTTATGCTACTGAGCTGTATTCCTGACCCAAAAAGGACAATTAAGAAAAAAAAGGGGGCAGGGGGGCTTGAATATAGTTCAGAAGCACAGAGCCTGCCTCGCAAGCGTGAGGTCCTGAGTTGTGATTCCCAGTACAAAAAAAATAATAAAAATAAAAAAGAGGTCATGAATATGGATACAACTAGGACTAAAATAGAAGACCGTAAACAACTTTTATCGCATTAATTTTAATACTTTATACAAAATGTACCAATTCATAGGACTATACGATTTCTAAAACTAAGGAAAAAAAAAAAAGATTTCACAGTATGCTACAGAGAAATTAGATCTGTGCTTATCAGTCTTCTCACAAAGAAAATACTAGGCCCAGATGGACAAATTTTAGCAAATTTTTCAGTAATACATACTTATAATTTTACATAAACTTTCTTCAAGAATAAAATAGAGAATACACTTAAGTTTGCTCTATAAAGTCAATTATCTTTAATCCTAAAACTGAACAGAAAATTTACCGGAAATAATCACTTAGAACTATAGAGAGAAAAATCCTGAGCCATATAATAACTAAATTTGTCAAGTGTATCAAGAAAATTATGTAGCATGATTAAGTTATCATCAAATGCGAGGTTATTTCAGTAAAGGTCAGCTAATTTATTTTGTTATATTAATGGGTTGAAGAAGGAAAATAATAAAGATAATCTTGGTAGATTCAGAAAAAGCGTTTAATAACTTATAAACAATTTCACTTAAGATCCCAAATGAGAAATATGTTATACTAGAGATTCTAAACAGGACAATAAGGCACAATTCACATAGAAGAAACAAAGGTGCCATTAGTAACAGGTAATATGACTGTCTACAGAGAAAATAAAAAAGAATACACAAATATATATTGATGGTAATGAGATTTAGCAGCATTGCTGGGTACATACAAATACATACAAATTAATTGTGACTCTACCCTATCAACAAAAAGTTAAAAGGATCATAAAATAACATAACTTTTCTAGGAATACATCTAAAAAAATCACAAGATCATTGTAGTTAAAATGATAGAACTCTACTGAAAAATAATGAAGAGTATCTAAATAAATAAGAATATAGTACTATATTCATGGAACAAAATGTTTAATAAAGGTATTAGTTTTGAGGAAAAATATGAAGGAATAAATGATACAAACCTCAGAATTAATAGGTACTGAGAGGATGGATGAATCATGGTGAACCTCTGGACTTTTTTAGGGGAAATGTAATTGTAATGTCCTGTTTCACTGTCTAAATGGTAGTGCTTCTAGCGTATCCCTCTATTTTTTTTCTTCAAAGCAAGTATATTCTCTTTTTTATGAATGCTACATTTACACAAATAGAAAGCAGATACCCAGATCAGTTTTCCTATTTCTTGCAATAGCCCTTTTACATCTCAAGCTAAAGACTAGAAGATCTTTCTAAGGAAAGAGTAAAAAAGATTATTTTCTCTCTTAGAGATTCCCAGCAGTTCAAGGTGGAAGTGTTATGCTAAAAGCAGCTGCATTAAGTGAATATAAAACACTCAAAGAATAGGCTATAAAATTTAAAATTAAACTGCATGAAAATTTAAAAATTTTGTGCATCAAAAGACCCTTTCAACAGAGTAAAAAGGCAATACATAGAATTGAAGAAAATATTGGGTAAATTGTGTATCTAATAAGAGATTCTTCTTCACATACATGTAAATGACATTAGCTTCAACTGAGTTCCAGATTTCACAAAGTATCATATATATAAATATTGAATCAAACAATTATTTCTTTCAGTAATTGAAGGAAAAATTTAAAATGCTACCTCATTTGAAGAATTTTCTGGCAAACTTGTTACAGGAACAATTTCATCTGAATTAATATAACTGCTGACATTTGGAAGTAGTTCTTCACAAGATGCTCTGCGCACCGAGGACAAACTGATCTATAAAGAAATTACTCTGTGGTAGAAGTTTCACAAACAATTATTTTTAAATAATTAAGCTAAAGTTAAAAATACTGCCCAATGAAAACATACTCTTGTGAACTTGACACATCAGCAATTTCATCTGAATGAATATAATTACAGATAATTCTTCCAAAGATATTTTTTTTCCTTTTTTTTTTTCTCTTTTTATCGGTACCGGGGATTGAACTCACGACCGCCTGCTTGCAAGGCAGGTGCTTATGCCTCTGAGCTAAATCCCCAGCCCCCTAAAGATATTTTTGATCTTTGATTAACTATGTTCCCATAGGGACCTGGTAAGGATAAAAATTTTAACTCTGTTACTAGATAACATTGCTTACGGTAAAATGATGTCTGAGTACAAAACTTAGTGCTGGGACAAACTTAAGTACAGTGCAAATAAATATTTGGCTTCCTTAGGAGCAGGGACCCTTGAAATTGGGTATATTCCTGTGAAGCCTTAAGAAACTAAGTACATGTGGTGTTACAAAAGATACTGCAGCTCATTCCCTTGCAACTGGGCTGTGTACATATTGTTACATAAGCTACTGATGACTTTTTTTTTTTTGTACCTGGAATCCAACTCTGGGCCTCATGCTTGCCAGGCAGGCACTGTGCCACATCCCCAGCCCCTGATGACTTCTGTCAGGAAGGCTACCACTGAGGAAAAAAACCTCCTGCTGCCCTTTAGTAAGATGTATTCCTGTTGTTCAGGTGAACCCAAGAAGCAGTTAGGTGAGAACTAAAATGATAAAACTCTCAGAAGTACAGAATGAAGGCTTCACAGCATGAATTTGGCAACAATTTCTTGAATATCACACCAAAAGCACAGAAAATGAAAGTAGATTTGAACTACATCAAATGAAAAACATTTATGTATCAAAGCACCCTGTGACAGTGAAAAACAACCCATGGAATGTGAGAAAATATTTGCAAACTGTATATATTGAATAATGTGGTTACTATTGAGACTGTACCAAAACCACAACTGAACAATAAAAAGGTAACCTAATTCAAAAGTGAGCAAAGAAGCTGAGCATGATGGCATACACCTGTAATCTCAGAACTAGAGAGACTGAGTCAGGAGGATTATTGCAAGTTGAGGCCAGTTTGGGCTACATAGTAAGTTTAAGGCCAGCTTGAACTACAAAGGGAGACTATGCCTGCAAAAAAAAGGAGCAAAGGATCTGAATAAAAATTTATCTAAAAAAATTACACAATGGCCAACAACACATGAAAAGATGCTCAATATTACTAATCATTAGGGATACAAATCAAAACTGTAATGAGATACCACCTCACACCCATAATGTCTATTTAAAAAACAGAAAATAATGAGTATTGGGAGATGTGTAGAGAAATTTGAACCATGTGTAGTGATGCATGCCTGTAATCCCATCACTGGGAGGCTTAGAGGATCACCATGAGTTCGAGGACAGCTTGGATTACAGTGTAAGACCTTGTCATAGAAAAAAAAGAGAGGAACTGAAACATTGTGCATTATCAGTGGAACTATAAAATGATGTATCCGCCATCAAAACAGGGTACAGTCCTCAAACTATTAAAAACGGTCATCATACGATTTGGAAATGCACAAGTCATTTGCATCTGAAAACAGAGTCAGATATTTTTACATTCATGTTCACTGCAGCATTATTAACAAGAGCCAAGTGTGGAAATAAGTCTAGTAGCTTACAGAGGAATAAATGAATAAATAAAATATGGTATACACATACAATGGAATATTATTCAGCCTTAGAAAGGTATTTCTGACACACATGCTACCACACAGATGAACCTGAAGACATTATGCTAAGTAACATAAATCATTTGCAAAGGTGTAAATACTGGCAAGCAAGAGTTGTGCAACTGTAGTCTTAGGTTCTCAGGAGGCTGAGGCAAGAGCATCACTTGAGCCCAGGAATTCAAGGCCAGCCTGAACAGCACAGTGAGACCCTATTTCAAAAATGAACAAGCTAACAAGACAAATACTGATGGTTCCACCTATTCACAACTTACATTTTTTTTTAGTTATTTGGGTTTTTTTGGTACTGAGATCAAACTCAGGACTTTGCACTTGCCAGGCTAGCGCTTGTGCCCCTGAGCTATATTACTAGACCGATTCCACCTATTCTATGAGGCATCTGGTATAGTCAAATTTATAGAGACAGAAAAAAATGGTAATTGCCAAAGGATAAAAATAGGGAGCTATTGTTTCATGGGTGTGGGCTTTCAGTTTTGCAAAATGAAAAACGTTCTGAAACTGTGCATTTAAATATGGTTAAAAGTCTAAATTTTCAGTTGTATATATTTTATAGTAAAAAAGTAACAACCCTACTTGGCATTTCAATATTCTCATCTTACCCATTTACACGAATAGTAGCATATAGAGTACTTCTAGTGAAAGTACATACAACAGAAAAATATAGATACTGTTCTCTATAGATATTTCCCTGGTATGATAAAAATATAGGAATGAGGAGAGGAGGAGCCAAAAAATACAAAAGCCAAATACTTACTTACCACAAAACCAGCTGCCTCTGAAGATGGAGTGCTTGTTAACAGACCTCCATTTTTCTTTTTAGAATTTGTTTTCTACAAATTTTTATAAAATAGGAGATTAAACAGCAGAAAGAAACAAATTATTATAACAGTAAAACCACAATTTAAAGTTAGTAGACTAAATCATGTGTAACACTAATAAAATCTTCAACCTGCTTATTAAAGTTTAAACTACTTGAAGGAAACTAAAGAATTGCTTTCTGGAGGTCAGTCAACTCTTAAGAGAACTCTAGCTTGCATAATATCTATATGAAAATATTTTTATGAAATGACAATTTGCAAAGAAAAGCTAATTAGAGTGCTGAATTGGATAACAGTGTTTTGGTTATCTTTGTTTTTGTTTTTTCAGCTTAGGAAACAGAAGCTACTCAGACTATGTTCCTCCCCTCTTGGACACTCCAAGGAGAGAACAAAAATGATCATCAATGGCAAGTGGCAGTTACACTCAGGCAATACCCAAGAGCCAGCTTCTCGCTCAGGAAGGAACACTATGCCTCCTCCTCATGGTTTCTAGTACTCTACACAATCAAAGAAACTTCTCTAGTAACATACTATACAAATGATTGATTATCTTTGTTAATTTCTATAACAAAGTATTTTACTTTCAGCATTTAATTTCTAGTTTATCATTTTACTTTTTATGGAAAAGAATTATAAATTATTTCTGAAACTATTAAAACATGTATGTAACAAGGATATTTGGTTTAAATATATGTTTATATCTATAAAGATACTTTTATTTAAGGAATATCAAAATTAAATAAATCATACAATAGGATGCAGACATTTTCTGTTTCTTAAAGATGCAAAGAAGCAGTCAGAGAGATAAAGTGGACAACAAAAGAAAGATTAGACAAGGGAAGATGCAAGACTCAAGAGTTACGAATGACAGAGGAAAGAGGGTCAAACTGCAAGAGACCAGGAGGGTGGTAAGGAAGGAAAGTGGGAAAATGAAAGGAGAGGGAGATAGAAGATCTGGAAGTAAAAAAGGAACAGAAAAGAGTTAAACAAGGAAACAGGAAGGGAGAGGAGAGAGAAGACAGACACCAACAGACGATAAGCAGGAAGAGACTGAGAGATAAAAACTAAAAAAAAGTGGAGGGGAAGCAAAAAAAAGGAGACAGCAAGACAGACACAGAGAGGAGAGAGACATAGCTTGACATTAGAAGAGCAAAACCCAGCAAAGATGAAGAAACAGGTAAAAGGCAGAACAGAAAGAGTAAAAGGCTGAGACAGAGTCAGGCAGCTTTATTTCTACAAATCAGCTGTTTTTCCAGTCCTTGAAACAACCATGTCTTTCTGATAACATCTTTCTTTTTGAATAAGTATTTATTATGGGAAGTCTGGAACTCAAACTCAGAGATAAGACTTGAAAATCGTAGGAAGTTTGCCAGATTTCCTTTTTTTTTTTTTTTTAACTTCTGTTTTTCTTCCAGCTCTCTTAAATTAGTTGTTGGTAAAACAATATAGATTGTTAGAAAAAATTTTATCAAAAAATTTAAGGTTATATTTACCTGGTACACTGAGTATGTCAGCTTTCTAATCTATTAGCTACAAAATCTTGTATTTTCCTCATCTGAAAAATGAGGATTATTCTACTCTTAGTGATTGGGGAGCAAGGATTACAAACAATATATGTAAATAGGACACATGGTGTCTGTAGGGAGGAGATGCTCAGCGACAGCTATTATCAATGGGCCTTAGAGGTGCTCTACTCAGGTCGCCTTAAACAAACGTGCTCTTTGCTGCAGGGAGTACAGTTAGCTGATAGTCCTCAGTGGCAACATCTTTAGGGTCTGCCCATCTTCTCAGGTAGCCTCTGGCTAATGTTTGGTCACAGCAGTCCAATACAGACTTGTGATAGATTCTCTTCAATCCAGAACTCCTTGCTAGAAGAGCTTCTGTCAGACTGGCACTGAGGACTGAGGCTACAAGTGCTCAGTTGTGCTTTCTCCCCGCTTTCCTTTCTCAGGTATTACCCCTCCAATAAGCCACAGGAACTCCAACTGTCTCAGTCTCTCCTTGCCAGTGGTCTCAGTGACCCACCATTAATTGGTTAAAAGTATCACCAAATTAAAAGGAGCAAAATAAAATAGAGAGAGATTTTTTCAAATGAGAAGGGATCAAGAGATTGAGGGGGTGGGGAGGAAGGACAGGGAAAGGGAATGAAACAAAGAATTAAGATATGCTATGTATATGTACCAATTCCACATAAGTAATGTAAACATTATATACTACAAACATGTACTAATAAAAATTAAAATAGCAAATTAAATTATGGAGAGCTGTAAGTATAAAGGTCTCCTATATTTTTCCTAGATTTGTTTTAAAATGTACATTTCTAAATATTCTTATTTGGTACATTTTTATAGTCTTTTCAAGAATCAGAGTTAATAAATGCAGGGTACTCACCAATGCTGGTGCCAGGGGCTCAGGCAGCAGAACTCTAGTGACTGAGCTAGGTGTGCCACTTTCAAGAGCAGGCCTAGGCCGGGATAACTCAGTGTCAATGTGGGCATGATGATTTAACTTTCTCTGAATATTTTTATCTCCATCTTCTAAATCTCTTTCAAGCTGAAACAAATTCACAATCAAGAATTACATTTTGTAATGCTGTAAAAACATTTCTACTACCTCTTAGATATCCTGTTATTTCTCAAATTAAAAAACAGTAAATGCTTTTCTAGAAAAAAAAGAATGTATTCTATACTATCTATGTACATGGGCATCATAGCAACGTTTTAGAAAAGGTGTATTATGCAGTTGTGTATGCTTGTGCTTATTTTTAGGAGTATCACTACTGATGAATTACTAATTTTAATGTTACATGTTTTATTATATTACACAAGGTATGCTTAACAGGAAAATATCAATACAATAAAATATTAAGCTAATGTGAAATGAGTGTGTAGAATAAACATCAATTATTCAACATCAACTGTTTGTCCATGTGCTTACAAGATTTAAAAGACACCACCAAAAATAAATTCCAAGGTGAACTACAATGAGAGCACAAACAAAAATCTACCACAGACATAACTGCTTCAATTCTCACACCTAGGGCAGTCTTCACACACAAGAACAGCACGTTCCATACTCAATTCTCATACATATGCTTAGTTTTCCTTTACTTTTTGGCAATCACACTTGTCACTTCTCACATCTTCCTCTTTTGTAAGGAGCTTCTCACTATACAATGTACACTTAGTAGGAAGATGAAATATTAATAAAATGTCAAATATATTTGAACATTTAGAATAAACATCAGCACTTTCTATATCAACTTTTGGCTTGCTAAATCAAAACAATTCATAACAGAAACAAATTCCCAAGTGAACTAGGATGAAAATACAAATAAAACTCTACCACAAAAATAATCTTTACTTCAAAGATCACACATAAGGCAGTTTTTACACATGAGAACAGCATGTTCCATACAGGTATCACTTATAGTGATAGCACATGTGTTTTGTTTTCCTGTCTTCTTTGGTGACATACTTGACATTTTGCTGGTCTTCCTGTTTTGATAGAAGGTTCTCATGGTATCTCACCTGTCTGTTTACTGGTCTTCTCCAAAATTCTTCTGCAGAGCATTGAACAGATACATACTGTTTTTTCTCTGTTGTAATTCATCAGTTACCAATTCCAGTCCCAATCCTCTAAGAAAATTTCTCTGTAATATTGTGTGTTCGCTATTTCTTTGTAAACTATGAATGTTTAGGATCCAGTAAAACACAAACATTGGCCAATACTTTGTGTTTCAAGTGACAACAAAGTTGTTGCATAACTAACCAACAACATCTACTTCGCCTTTCATTTTGTTGTAAAATGCAACCATTTTTGCCTTCACTTGTGTTAAGGATGCATTTGATGTTGTTTGGTGTTTTGATATAGGATCTCACCATGTAGCCTTGAATTCACTATATAGCACAGGCCAACCTGTGCTGGGATTACAAGTGAGCACCACCATGGCTTGCCTCTTTATCAATCTTATCATCATGGTGTAACATTGACATTATCAATATCACTTTTTCTTTGCCATCACGTAGTCCAGACTAGCCTGGGCTTCGATGTGTAGCACAGGCTGACAGGATCTTTTTGCCTCAGCCTCCCAAATGCTGAGATTACAGGCATATACCACCATGCCCAGCCTATCAATCTTATCTCCATGATGTAATGCTAACAGTAGCAATACAACTTTGGATTTTTTTTTTTTTTTTGCCATATAGGAGGTCAATGTTATGTCTTTCCCAAATCCAAAGATTGTACTATACCTCTGTCTATTTGTTAACTTGCTGTTTTTGCAAAAAGGTACTATGCTGGTCAATGGTGTTCTTTAACAAATATAACATCAGTGGGTAACTAGTGACCCAACTGTTCAAAATGACATTTGGGTTACTTTTTGAATAGGTGCAACAAATCCATTTGCAAAGTCAAATCGTTTACTACTGCACAAAGAGAGACGTGGTGACTGAGTTCCAGGATGAATTTCTAAATTCAAGGCACAAAATGTCTTCCCACCCACCAGGGAATAAATTTTTATACCATTTTTGGAAAGTTTACTTGGCACATATTGCCAAAATCTTCAACCATCATGAAATGATACAAGTTGTTTGTTAACTGTATTTGGACATGTACAAATTGCTTGACAGTTTGAAACAAAGCTTTCAAAGATGAGTGAATAGCAGCCACAGTGTCAGGTTCTTTTTCTTTCTTGGCAGATCATTAAACGTAGGCAATTTTGAAGGAATCCAAATGTCTTAAATCTCATTGTTCTAAAAATCTCAATACCATATCTGTCACTTCTCTGTAAATCCTTGAGAGTCTGACAATTATAATGATAAAGTTCTGCTATGAAGGTTTTTGGTTCACGTAGTGAGGTGTCATGATAAATATGTTTTTGAATATTATTAATGGTGCAAATAGAATGTTTTCTTGTATTTCATTATTAGTATATTTCAAAACATCTTGTAGCATATCATCCATTACAAAAAATAACAATAAAAATAATAACCCAATGACCTGATAATATTTTCTGACCTGGTTCTAACATTAGATCTTTCAGGTATACATGATCATTTTGACTAGTCAAATATTTATTTACATTATTATTTTTCCCCATCTGAATTAAGGTCTTCATTCTGTACTTCTGTCATATCTCTATCTGTTATATCTCTATTTATTATATCTATTATACGCTGGTAACTTCACTGGCTTGCAGTAGATCCAAGTCATCATTGGTAGCTGAATCACCTGACAATTCACTTTCTGCCTCCTCCCAAAATTGTAAAAGTTGATTTTCACATGACATTGTACTTAATTGGGCTAATTATACAAGAAAAGTAAAATAAAACATTTAATAAAAAATTATAAATACACTAAAATGTAATATGGCACATAATAAGGGTAAAGCCCATTCATTTACTTTGACACAGGTACATACACTTTGCCATTTGTCATATCAAGTGAGTGAACAGAAAGATTGCTTTCTTTATTCTCCTAGCACAGCTACTGAGAGCACAGCTGCTTACTGTTATGCTAAAGTGTATATTTTCATTAGAAATGTATGGTAAGGGCACCTGCAACCTAGTATAGGAAGCCAAGGTTTAAATAATTAGTTGAAAGAAAAAATAGTTTGAAATGTTCAACTCAAAAAATTTTCCTACCACCTTGAAAGTAACATCTCGTAAGTAGTGTGTCCTATGAAAACAAAACAAGTGATAGTGAGATCTGCTTATTGATACTTAAATTAAATTTTAGAGAAAATATTGACTGTATCTGTAATATCTATAACTATATCTGTAACTATCTTTACTATACAATAAATCTGATTTTAAGAAACCAAATGTACCCCTAAGATCAGGAAACAGAAACATTACAAAGTATATTGTCTTACTGACTATATAAGAAACCTAAATAGAATTGAAGAGCAAAATAGAGGATAAACAATAGGAAGTAGAGAGAGAGATGTTTCTCAAATAGTAAGAGATCAATAGATGGAGAGAAGAGGTAGGAAGGGGAGGGAGAGGGTCTAACATGCTTTAATTTCCAGTTCTATTTGTTCACTGCTAAGTAGATTAAATTTTGTATATTAACCTTGTATCCTGCAATCTTGCTAAAATTGCTTCTTTATTTGAAGAGGAACATTTGGAACATATTTCAAATTTTATTTCTTTCCCAATATGCATACCTTCTAATTTCTGTCCTTGTCTTACTGTACCAGCTAGGAACTGTAGTACAATGCTGGAAAGTGTAATGGGATGAGATATCCTTACCTTGTTAATAATCTGAGGGGAAAAGCTTCAAGTTTATCACCTGAAACATGATGTTGGCTGTTTTTGTGTATGTTCTTTATCTATTTGAGGGAGTTCTCTCTGTCCTCTCTACTTTGCTGCGAATTTTGTGAATGAGTATTTATTTGATATGGTCAAAGGTTTTTCCTGCTTATATTGATACAATCATATCATTTTATTAGCTTATTTATGTGATAAATTTATTAACTGATTTTCAAATGTTGAACCATCTTTACATGTGTGGGATAAATCTCGGCTGCTGTAAATTATTCTTTTTATATACTGTTTAATTTGCTTCTATTTTTTGAGGTGTTTTTTGTCTATGCTCATAAGAAATATTAGTCTGTAGTTTTCTTGTAATGTCTTTGCCTTGTTTTGCTATTAGGTTTTGACATAGGCAGACTCATGGAACGAGTTAGGAGGCATTACTTTTACTTCAATCTTCTGGAAGAGACTGTAGAGAACTGGAACAATTTCTCCGTCAAATATTTGGTAAAATTCACCAGTGAACCCATCAAGGCCTGATACTTTCAATTTTGAAAGAGTATTAATTATTGCTTCAGTTTATTTAATATACATAGGCTTATATCTATTTACTCTTGCATGCACTGCTAGATTTGAGGAATTATTTTATCTCAACTGTAACTTTCAAGGTCAATTTGGGGGCATAAAGTGACTCGTAATATTAACTTACTACTTTTTTTAGTGTCCATGAAATCTAGTCATGTTTCTTCTGTAATTTCTGTCTTCCTGTTTTCTTAGTTTGACTCAAAACTTATTCATTATATTGATTTTTCTTCAAGAACTGGCTTTAGATTTTGTTGCTTTTCTCTATTCATTTCCTGTTTTCAACTTCACCACTTATTTCTGTTTTGATTTCTATTATTTCTTTTCTTTTGATTACTTGGGACTTAATTTTTGTTTCCTAGTTCCCTGAGATGGAATCAATTACTTATTTCAGATCTTTCTACTTTCTAAAATATATACTCAATGCTATAAATTTCCCGCTAACCACTGCTTTTCCTGAATACCACAAATTTTAATAAATTGTATCTTCACTTAGTTCATTTTTGCTGGGCGTGGTGGTTCATACTTGTAATCCTAGCACTCAGGAGGCTGAGGAAGGGAGATCTCCGTGAGTTCAAGACCAGCTTCAACTACACAGTGAGTGCAAGACCAACCTGGACTACAGAGCAAGACCTTGTCTCAAAAAAACAAGAGAAGATATTTTAAAACTGTTTTGCCTATATCTTGTACTCTGAGTAACTACTTTGAAGATGATAAAGAGTATTAACTATTTTTATTATTTTATTTTGTTATAAAATTTTTTTTCATAAAAAGTTTTGATAAAAAACTGTTGAGAATTTTTGGAGATGCTTTGAGATTTTTTTGTTCTATATTTTATTTAGATGTTTATTTTAAATTTCCATGTATCTTGGCATTTCCAGGTATTTATCTATTATTGATTTCTACATTATTTCCACTGAGCAGACAGCATGCAATTCCAACCATTTTAAACTCATTGCAATGTGTCTGATGGTCCAGGATATAATCTATCTTGGTGGAAGCTTGAGATGCATGTGCAGTCTGCTGTTGTGGTCTGTTCATGTCAATCATGTTCTCAGTTGATGGTGCAGCGGAGTCCATCCAAGTCCTTACTGGTTTTATGCCTATTATCCACTAGTGACAGAGGAGTCCCCCATTGTCAATGTGAATTCATCTAATTTTCCTTGTAGTCCTACCAGTTGATGCCGCATGTATTTTGGTGGTCCAACATCATGTACATATGTATTAAGGATTGTTACATCTTGTTGGAGTACTGATCCCTTTGTTTTGCTATCATATGCTTCATTATCATTCATAATTATTCCTTACTCTGAAGTCCTTTCTGTCTGAAATTAATATAGGTGCTCCTGTCTTCTTTTGACTAGTGTTAATGTGGTATGTCATTCTCCATATCTCTTTTTTTCAGTTTTTATTGTTAGCACATCTTTGTGGTACATAATGATTATATCTCTGATGGGGGGTTAGTACATGTATATAACATATCTTAAATTTTTTTCAGCTCTTTCCCTCTATACCTTGGTCCTATTCCCTTTTGCAAAAGATCTACTTCTATATTATCTATATTTCATTTTGGTCTTTATTTGTACTTTGTGTTTTTCAGACAAGAGAAACCATATGATAGTCAAGCTGTGTGTCTGATTTATTTAACCCTGCATTATGGTCTCAAGGTGCATCTATTTTCCTTTAATCTATATGTGTCGTTATATTTAAAGTGGGTTTGTCAGTTTTAAAAATAGTTGAGTTTTTTATGCATTCTGAACAATCTGTCTTTAATTGATGCTTTTAGGCCATTAGAATTTAAATCCATTACTGGATTTTTTATTTTACTTATTTTTATTTATTTCTTTATTTTTAGTTTTTATTTTTTTGGTATCAGGGATCAAACTCATGACCGTGCACTTGGTGCTTAAGCCACTGAGCTAAATTCCCAGTGCCCCCATTACTGGCTTTGATTTGTTGTTGTACTGAAGGTTGAATCCAGGGCTTTCATACTGAGCTACAACCCCAGCCCTTTCAATTTTTTTTTTAATTTTAAAAAACAGTTTCAATGAGTCGTTAAGTTGCCCAGGCTGGCCTCAAATTTGTGATCTTTCTTATTTAGCCTCCCAAGATTACAAGTGTGTGCCAGAACATCTGACTTTTCCATTATTTTTATTATACATACATTATATATTTGGTTTTTGTCTCACATTTCTTGGATTTTCTGTTCTGGATGTTTGCAGTGGTTTTCAGTTTTGGAAGTATCTTTTGTCATTTCTCAAGCACATTGATTCTTTTTTTAGTTGTGTCTGATACACTATTAAATCCATCAATGATATTCTTCATTTTGGATTCAGTGTTTTCAAATACTGGCATTTCTTTTTATTCTATATTAGAACTTCCACTTCTCTACCAGTATCCACCAGTTCATGTGTATTATCTATTTTTTGCATTGAAGTTCTTAGAATGTTAGTAAAAAGGTCACTGACTCTCAGAGCTTTTATCTTCAGGTATCATTAGACGGCCTATTCTATCACATCAAATACCATTTCTGTCCATTAACATCATTCAAGACAGAAAATTAGAAGCCTCAATACTTTTCACTATTTCATCTTCTATATCAATTCATTAACTGTATAGACAAAAGTTTCTTGAATATAAGCATATCTCTCCACCTTTCCTACAAAATATATACCCTGATCAAAGCCAACATAACCTTTTACCAAAAATATTTGTAACTTCTTACTAATGGCTCTCCTTAATACTTTCACTCTTTTTCAATTTGTTCTCTAATTTATATATATCAAACAGTATAGCATAATGAAAAGAATACAAGGTTCTGGTTTTGGATCAAAACAAGACCAGCCACAAACTGCTCAAAACATTGGTGAACATTTAAACTTCACTTGTACCACCAATTTACAAGTAAATCCAAACAAACAAACACACAAACACAAACATACCAATTACGCTTCTGATTGGAATAATATAGAGAAATGGCATAACTAATGAATAGCCACTCAAAGAGAAGCTCTTACTATGTACAAAACAACACCCAAATTCTATCTCAAAGATATTCAGATTCCAAGTTTAATGTCAGAAGTAATCCTCAGCATAAATTGCTATTTTGGCTACATAGGGCACTTCTTTACTTCATCTTAATGAATGATGAACATCTATTCAAACAGAAGTAGAAAAATGTACATTTTAATTCTTTGATTAAGTATATATATTATGTATATACTATATAGGTTTTTCTTTTTTTTTTTTTTTTTTTTTTGGCACTAGGGATTGAACTCATGACCTAGTGCTTGCCAGGCTGGCGCTTATGTCACTGAGCTAAATCCCCAGCCCTAACTACATAGGTTTTTCACAAAATTCAGTAGTTCAATTGCTAACCTACAAAATGCTTTGAATCACTATTTTAAATAGCTGAAAAATAAATCCTATATAATGTCACTTAGAAATACATTCTTTATTAATAAAAGTAAGATTTATGTAGTTATTATACTTTAATACTTGCTTTTTTCTTTGCTTCTTCAGAGGCTGAAGGGGGATTTTTCTCAGGATGTAAAACCTCACAATCTGCATTATCTATAAATAAAAACATAGTTTAGTACTCTATTTAACCTGCCATTGTAAGTATAAAGAACAGATTTCAAATTTAAAACATTAAAAACCTTATTTTAATGACTATGGCTTAATAATAATTTATGAAGAAACATTGAATATGCTGAATAATCTCAAACAGGAGAAAATACCCTTAAGAAACTCATTTTAAGAATTCAATGTTTTAAACCAGATATGGTGACACATGCCTGTAATTCCAGCAGTTGAGTGGCTGAGGCAGGAGGATCACTGTGAGTTCAAGGCCAGCCTGAACTGCATAGTGAAACCCTGTCCAAAAAAGAAAAAAAAAAAAAAGAATTGCAGGTTTTATAGTAAACAATAAATGAAACATTTTCGTTTCAATAGTAGAGAAGCATGTAATCAAAAATCTTCATTTATCATCCTACCATTTTTACTCTCCTGTACTTACTTTCTTTGAAATTTTATTAGTGCATTTTTGTGGCACATAATGATCACACTCATGGTGGAAAAATGGTACAGGTACATATCACATCTCATTCTTTTCTTTCCCCTCTCCTTCTACCTCATTTTATGAAAAAAATTTTTCAGCATCAGATCCATTTATTTATTGTATGTGTCCTTATCAATTTAATTATCATAGAAACAGATTAACAGCCCATCTAATAGGTCCAAAACATATATAACAATTATACTAAATTAAGATGCACTTCAGATACATTATCCATGCTGCATCACAATAAAAATTTTTTTCTATCATCTTTTATTTTGCACTTAATTTACACATTAGATTTCTCATTTAAGAGAAACCATGCAATATTCAGACCTTTATGTCTAATTTTTACTTAACACTATGGTCTCAAGTTGCATCCATTTTCCTACAAATGCCTCAAGTTTATTTTCTTTATGGTAGAGTAGTACTCCATTGTGTACAAATACATTTTCTTACCCATTCATTCACTAATGGACATGGCTGCTTGCAAATTTAGCTATAAAAATGGATATACATACATCATATTGATATGATGTCTTTAACTGTTGCAATAAGATAAGTAGAAGGGGTCTAGCTAGGTCAAGTAGAGTATCTAGGTTCAGTTTTTGATGAATTTCCATACTGGTTCCCCTAGTGGTTAATCAGTTTATACTCCCTTTAACAATAAAGAAATCTTTCTCTTTCCCTTTTGCCTCTCTAATATTTATTATTGGTTGATTACTTGATGACAGCCATTCTTTCTGGAGTAAGATGAAGTCTCAGTGTTGTTTTAATTTGTATTGTTTCAATGGCCAGCAATGTTGAACATTTTTTCATTCATTTATTGGCAACTGTTTCTCGTATGAAAAGTATCTAGAAGATGGCAGCTTGATAGGTAGCAGGGTAGAGCCTCTCTGAGAAAAATAACCCAGACACCAGAATTTAACATGGAGAAAACCAAATGAAAGGAGAGGGATTCTCATAACCCAGGAAGAAATTGAGGAAAAAGAAAAAGAAGGAAAGGAAGGAAAAACGTGGATGAAAGGCTGGAACCAGACACGCTCACTGGGACTGGTCCCACGCTGTGCTGGGTGCACCATGGAGTCAGACAATTCACGGTTGCACTGAAGCCACAGCCACAGAAATTGGGAGTTGGTGAGTCCGGGGCCTTTGGCGGGAGGATGCAGTGCAGCATGGAGTGGAGCCAAGGTGGAGAGCTGCATTAATTTGCAGTGAGTGCTGGAAATTGGGTCCTGCGGCGAGTGGGGCCAGCAAGAGGACATATTGGAGTTGGGCAGGATAGGCCTAAATCAGGAACTGCAGGGATGTCAGTCGGCCATCCCTTGCCCAAAGAGGACTAATGGGATCTGCTTGGGCTGAGTCATACCCCTGGTCGAAACCCAATAACCAGGGACAAAACAGTCCAGAACCTGGGACGTCCACACAGCACAGACTAACATGCTGAAGGCACTCGCTGGTTGACTGGCTCAGAGGAGAGGGGCCAGTGCACATCAGCCCTGCACACACCTCAAATAACAGTAAACTGGAGAAGGTAGTAAGCCCCCAGGCAGCATGCTTTAGAAAAACTGTAAGCAATACGGAGAGGGCCTGAGACCTGCACCATACATCTGTCTGAAAGAAACCAGAAACATGACAAGAGAAAGAAATAAGAAAAAGCCTCCAGCCACTGACCATGGGAAAATAAGTCCAGGAGAGGTAAATACAGAAGAGATCAAGGGTAGCAATCATGCAACATCAGACACAGCATCAGCAGACATAAAGAAATACCTTCATGACCTCATAGATGAACTTAAAACTGAAATTCTAACCCAAGTGAGGCAAGATGTAAAAAGATTAATAAAAGAAATGCTAAGCATCTCTCAACAAGACACAGATGGAACAATGGAGGAACCCAGAAAAAGAAGAGAAACCTTTGGTGAAGAATATAAACAAAATCTAGAATACATGAAATAGATCCAAGGAGATTACCAGGAAATTAAAAACTCCATTGAAAGCTGGCAAAATGCCTTGACAGAAACTAAAGTTAGTCTTTCAAAATTTGAAGATAGAGTTACAATGTGTGATCATGAAAGAAAAGACCTCTTAAAAATAACAAGGAACCAAGAAGTAGTAATACAAAGGCTAGAAGAGAACAAGAGGATCTATAACTTAAGAATAAAAAACATGAGTGAAGAAGCAGGAGTAAACACAAATGAATTACAAAGGCTATTTGCAGAAATAATTAAGGAAAACTTCCCTAGTATAAGAAAAGGAAATGATATTCAGATACGTGAGGCATACAGAACTCCAGCCAGCTACAACCAAAACTGATCTACACCCAAACATATAATAATCAAGACCCCAGAAATTTATCACAAGAACAGAATATTAAAGGTGGTCAGAGAAAGGCAACAGATCACCTATAAAGGAAAACCTATAAGAATCATGCAAACCATCAAATCAAGAAGAGCTTGGAGCAAAGTATTCCAAGTCCTGAAGGAAAATAACCTCCAACCCAGATTGAAATACCCTGAAAAACTGTCTTCAAAATTAATGGAGAAACAGGATGTTTCCATGACAAAGAGGAGCTGGGGGAGTTCTTGATCACCAATCCAACCCTACAAAAAATACTGAAGGACATTATAGAGAGAGAGAAAAAAAAAACCACCAGGATTCCAGGGAACAGTGGCAGAGAGCTGAACGGTGCAGACAGTGGAATAAAGGACAAAAGTAGACAACCAGTGGCAGAAAAATAGCATAGCAGGGATGAGGCAGAGAAGACTGGCTATAATCTCTAACATAGATGGCCTTGATACACTAACAAAAAGAAACACAGGCAGAGTAGATCAGGAGATAGGGTCCATTGAGATGCTCTGCATAGGAAATATAATCTATCTGAAAGAGGGTTAATGAACTGAAGTCAAAGATGAGAAAATGATGCTCTATGTGACAGGGAACCAGAGAGAAATAGGGACAACTCGTCCAGCAGGTGCAGATAGTTTGGAAAGTCATGACATATTTGTGCAGTGGAGAACTACTCAGGTATAAGAAAGGAAAACCATAAAGCTTTAGTAAGTAAAGGAATACAGCTCAAGATCAAGCTCAGGGGTAAAAAGGTTCAACATCACTTAGATAGATAACAGGTTGCCCCCCTAATCTAAAAACTAAAGGAGTTAGTGGGACCCAAAATATACAAAGCACCCTGAGAAAGGGAAAGGGGAGGAATTGTCTAAAAAAGGAAGGCAGAGGACATTGTTAATAGTGTATCAGGATTTAAAAGCCACATTATTCTCATCACTCTGTTTAGTTTGATTTTATTTTGTTCCAGTCTGTCTACTCATACTAGATTTGAGGGCCCAGACAGCTATCCCAAAAATAGCAGGATATACTACAGTAACTATCCTTAATTTCCTATTAACTTAAACTGAAGCCCTGTGTTACTTACATTGTCTTACTATGACTGATCTTATTTGAATCTGGTTTGTCAGTCCACTGTTTTGTCTTGACTGATTTTATTCCAATTTGGTATGCTTGATAGAATCAAGCCTAAGAATAGAGATAACTACTCTGAAGATGACAAGATGTAATAAGATACCCATTCCGGTTTGATTATTAAGTGCTTTTAAAGTCCTTCAATGTCTCCAATGTTGTGTTTTTATTAAAGTTGCTATATAATGCTATGTTGTTATATTATGTCTGATGATGTGGACAATTCTATTGAAAATAACAAGAGACAGCATAGTAACTACTGTAGATCACCTAGTATTGTGGTTTTATATGTGTTTTTCATTTCATGTTTTTCTAGGAATTTGTTTTGTTGTCTTGTTTTGATCTGTTTTTCTCTATAATACAGAAAGGACAGGTATACATGTAGAGATTCACACGTGTAGAATTTCTAAACAGTTTACAGGAACAGATTATATAATGCACGATGTAATGAACAGATACTCTAAAGATACACAGTAAGATACTCAGTGCTAATTATGTAGCATTATGATATAAAATCTAGCAATACTATTATTCACTGTTCAGAGTGATATTAGTCTAGTCTCTCATGTTTAATTTCAACATATGTAAACATATGGACAGCTATTTCATAGAGAACGAGAGACATTATGGCAGCCATTACTGACTTCCCTATTGTCTGGTCATGAAGACCTAAAAAGCCTTTACATCCTGTTCTGATTAGTTTAGTACTATAATGTTCAGTATGTACTCACTGTGTGAAGATGTGGACAACTATTTGGAAGAAAACAAGAGACAATATGATAGACAGTGAAGATCTCCAGTGGTCTTGCTTTGAAATTCGTGTTTCTTAAAATTGTTTCCTTATGATCTGTTTTGTTCTGTTTAATTTTACCCTCTTTAAAATTAAAAAAAAGAAAAGTACCTATTCATTTTATATGCCAATTTTTGGATTGAGTCTTTAGATTTAGAGGTTATAATTTTTTTAGTTCTTTATATATTCAAGATATTAGTCCTTCGCTTTAAGAGTAGTTGGAAAAATATTTTTCCACTACATAGGCTGTCTCTT